AAAAAAAAAAAAAAAAGAAAAGAAAAGAAACTTGTTCTCCTTTTTTGTAACTAGAAAACATTGGATGAGATCATGATTCTCAAATAGGTTTAATGGGCAGGGCACCCGAAAATATGGCACTCCAGAGGAAACATTTTGCAGTACTATTGCTGTTAGTTTGGTCATATGAATGAAGAAACACTTTTATGTAGTAGGATATATTATTATGTCACCAAAAAAATCAAAAAGCAATTCTGAAATTACAAGTCTGGGAAAAAATCTGCTATGGAACTTAACATGCTCAGCCATTTCTAAAAGTGCTCTATGTGTATGTGCTCCTTGGCAGAAAAAGCAGAAACCAAAGGCTTAAGAAAGTTTGGAGGGAGATAATTGACTCAATTATCTCTTTTGTTTCTTTTTCTGCAAATTGAGGAAGGCTACTATGTTGCATTTCTAGGAGCTATTCTTTAGGAGTTAAGTTTGAGAACTACCTGCTTTTCCAGTCCTAGGCCTCTAAATTACCTTCGTCCCTGGAGAAACACTGCCACTATGTGGCAGGCCTTGGTTATGCCACGCTATCCTAAAACCATTTGAGACATGGGGGTCATTTTAAGATTATTCAAGTTATTTAAATGTTCCATTGGTGGGGTAAAATAGCTGCATCTCCCAGTATCTGATTTTAAAAATAATTTCATATTGTCATTCCATACAATTATGAAGCTTCTCTTAAAGAGTACCCTGCTTGAAGGCCAGAGCTGTTTTTCTTGCTCATCATACTAGTCCCTGACCTTTAAAATGGTACAGGGGCTCGGCACAGTGGCTCAGCCTGTAATCCCAGCACTTTGGGGAGGCCAAGGCAGGTGGATCACTTGAGGCCAGGAGTTTGACCAGAAGAGTTAGACCAGTTGTTTAAGTGGGAGATTATGGGAACCTGAACTAGATCAATGGTAGTAACAATGGAGAGGAGAGGATGGTGAAACTCTGTCTCCACTAAAAATGCAAAAATTAACCCAGTGTGGTGGCACACACCTGTAATCCCAGCTACTCTTGGAGGCTGATGCAGAAGAATCGCTTGAACCCAGGAGGCAGAGATTGCAGTGAGCCAAGATCATGCCACTGCACAGCAGCCTGGGCAACAGAGTGAAACTCTTGTCTCAAAAAATAATAATACACTGGGCATGGTGGCTCATGCCTGTAATCCCAGCACTTTGGGAGGCTGAGGCAGGCAGATCACTTGAGGCCAGAAGTTCAAGACCAGCCTGGCCAAATGGGGAAACCCCGTCTCTGCTACAAATACAAAAATTAGCCAGGCGTGGTAGCAGGCGCCTGTAATCCCAGTTACTTGGGAAGGCTGAGGCAGGAGAGTCACTTCAAACTGGAAGGCGGAGGATGTAGTAAGCCAAGATTATGCCACTGTACTCCAGCCTGTGTGACAGAACAAGACTCTGTCTCAAAAAAAAAGAAAAAAGAAAGAAAAGTAATAAAATAACATGGCACAGGCCTGGGCACAATGGCTCATGCCTGTAATCCCAGCATTTTGGGAGGCTGAGACAAGAGGATGGCTTGAGCTCAGAAGTTTAAGGCCAGCCTGAGTAACACAATGAGACCTCATCTTTAGTAAAAAAAAATTTTTTTTTTCTCTGCTGCAAGCTTCCAAAATGACAAAGAAAAGAAGGAACAACGGTCGTGCCAAAAAGGGCCGCGGCCATGTTCAGCCTATTCGCTGCACGAACTGTGCCCGATGCGTGCCCAAGGACAAGGCCATTAAGAAATTCATCATTCGAAACATAGTGGAGGCCGCAGCAGTCAGGGATATTTCTGAAGCAAGCGTCTTTGATGCCTATGTACTTCCCAAGCTCTATGTGAAGCTACATTACTGTGTGAGTTGTGCAATTCACAGCAAAGTAGTCAGGAATCGATCTCGTGAAGCCCGCAAGGACCGAACACCGCCACCCCGATTTAGACCTGCGGGTGCTGCCCCACGACCCCCACCAAAACCCATGTAAGGAGCTGAGTAAAAGATTGAAGACAACTATTCCCTGGAGAAAAATAAAATGGAAATTGTACTCGAAAAAAAAATTTTTTTTTAATTAGCTGAGAGTGGTGACAAGTGCCTGTGGTCCCAACCACTCAGGAGGCTGAGGTGAGAGGATTGCTTGATCCTGAGGCTGTAATGAGCCATTATCACACCACTGCACTCCAGCGTGAACAAGAGGGAGACCCGGACCCAAAAAAAAAAAAAAAATATGTCCTGAAATATAGTGGGTGCTTAATAATAATTGTTGAATAAGTGGTTAAAATACTAGGGACTAAAAATAAAACAAAACAAAAAATGTCAGGGCCTTTCCCCAAGGTACAACAGCATATGCACACACCATCAGCTAGTCTGTGTGCAGCAGTTCCCTTACCACGTTGGGCAAATAAATCTAAAGTACCTATAAAATGTTCATCCACTTGAACACCTATTTTAAGCCTGTACTAGACACAAAGAATATGAAGACAAATAAAATGCTATCTTGTACTCAGAGAGCATTCCCCTGCAGTCAGAGACAGGCAAGCAAACAAGAATGTGCGATATGGAAGTGTGTACAGGTAGCTGCTGGAGGGAGCTACTTGTCCCTGAGGGAGGGACAACTGGCTGTGACTGGGTTAAGTCAGGGTGGAGATGACTCCTGAACGGAGTTTCAAAGATGATTTGAAGTTCTCCAGGCTGGTGCAGGGAGGAGAATGCATTCCAGGTATGTGCAGGGGCTTGAAAAAGCATGTTATGTTTGGGGAACTAAAAGTAGGTCAGTATGACTAGAGCATGGTGTGAGGGTGTGGCCAGAGTAAAGGCTAAACAGGTTAAGAACAGGTTAGGTAATAAAGGTTAAACTAGGAACAAAAGGCCTGGAATGCTATGTCTAAAAGTTTAGCTTTTCAACAGTATGAATGGAGCAGCTGGGGTGTGGGGAGGGCCTTTGTTAAGGAGAGTGATATGGACAGATATATGCTCGAGATAGATTATTCTAGCAGCATATGAAGCGTGGATTGGAAAAGGATTAGACTGGAGGCAGGAAGACCATTTGCCTAAGTGGGAGATTATGGGAACCTGAACTAGGTCAATGGCGGTAACAATGGAGAGGAGAGGATGGACTGGAAAAAGAGGCAAAGTTGACAGGGCTTGATGGATGATTAACCTTGAGGGGCAAGAGACAGTGGAGTCGATGTGACTCCAATGACACCCACATTTCTGGACTAGTGAGTGATGGATTGTTGCCATTCACCAAAATTAAGAATGCAGGTCACTAATTCCAAATACAGATTCACTTTAGCTTGGTGCAAATTAATGTGTAGAATGAATGAGTTTCCTAGCTCACCCCTGTCTACATTTGTCCAAATTGTAGTCACTTCTGGTGAGTAAAGAGATGGTCCCCAGGCTCAGCCCCTCTCTCTATTCTATTTCCAAACTGCTATCCCTATAGCACCCAAAACCTAAACTCTTTTGTATTCAATTCACATATTTTCTCCTCAATTCCCCTTTTCGTTCTGCCTACCTATCCAGGAAAAGTGAATAAGAAATTCTTCTGCCCTGCTGTATTCAATTATTTTCTCAAGCTTTTTACTTCAGTTTTTTTTTGTTGTTGTTTTTTTTTGAGATAGAGTTTTGCTCTTGTTACCCAGGCTGGAGTGCAATGGCGCGATCTTGGCTCACCGCAACCTCTGCCTCCTGGGTTCAGGCAATTCTCCTGCCTCAGCCTCCTGAGTAGCTGGGATTACAGGCACGCGCCACCATGCCCAGCTAATTTTTTGTATTTTTAGTAGAGACGGGGTTTCACCATGTTGACCAGGATGGTCTGGATCTCTTGACCTCGTGATCCACCCGCCTCGGCCTCCCACAGTGCTGGGATTACAGGCGTGAGCCACCGCGCCTGGCCTACTTCAGTTTTTATAAAAACCCAGTGTTTTCACGACTCCCATCTCCATTAAAGAAACTTAATGGCTTGGTGGTGACAGTAGTGTTTATTTAGACATTAGTATCCCTGACACTTGGCAATTATACTTCAATTACATATGCCTTATTCAGTCTAAGGAGACAATTTATGTATGCTTGGGGAAAAGTAATTCCACCACATAAGGACAAACAGAGTCTGGTTCATTTCTACTTTTTTTTTTTTTTTGAGAGGGAGTTTTGCTCTGTGGTCCAGGCTGGAGTGTGGTGGCGTGATCTCAGCTCGCTGCAACCTCTGCCTCCCAGGTTCAAGCTATTTTCCTACCTCTGCCTTCCAAGTAGCTGGGACTACAGGTCCTGCCACCATGCCTGGCTAATTTTTGTATTTTTAGTAGAGATAGGGTTTTGCCATATTGGCCAGGCTGGTCTTGAACTCATGACCTCTTGAACTCATGACCTGCCCACCTTGGCCTCCCAAAGTACTGGGATAACAGACGTAAGCCACCACACCCAGCCCATTTCTCCTTTCTATTATATTTCAGCACTTGCTTATAGATTGGCTAATATTCGACTCCCTTCAGGTATGCCAGATAATTCAACTATACCTAGAAGGGTAAAGCCTTAGAAGAATACAGTAACTTCTTCAAACACAATATAGTTGGGATAGGGGAACAATTAGGAACTTCTAAGACAGGTGGTATCAGACAGCCAATATATTTTGTGCCTATTATCGGCCCAAAGGATGGTTTTTACCAGTGGTATTCAACCAGGGGATTTATCATGATTGTCAGAATGGCCCAGACTCTACTGGCATTTTGTGGGTGACACCAAGGTTGCTAAATATCAGTAAGAAATAGGCAAACAGGAAAATGCGAAGTATTTTAGGCAGAGAAAATAGAATGCGTAAAGGCACGAAGACAGGAAGATAGTAAGATATTAAGGGAAATGTCTAACTAATGACTTTAGAGGGGACTAGTAGGTGATGATGGTAAGGAAAGTAGGGAATAAGATCTAAAGGTTGTTTAATTAAATCCAACTCAATAAGCATCTACAGAGTGTCTCTTTGGAGCCTGAATATCTGCTAGACTCATGAGATTTAAGAGAAAACAAAACAAATTACCTTTCTCTGAGGATAAAATATCATTACAAATAAATAAATTGTGGAGTAGATTGTGATGAGTGTTATAGAAAAGATATGAGGTCTGTGGTCCAGAAGCAGGATCATAGCAGACCTTGAATATGAAGAATAGAACTTTTGACTTGGTATAAGACATAAGGTCATTCATTCACCACACAAACCTTTATTGAACACTGCGGTAGACTGAGAGAATAATCATGGCTATGTCCTCTCCCTTTTTCAATGTGTTTTTGCCGTACCTCCCATCTAATTCAACATCTCTTAAATCTGAGCTGTCCTAGTTACTTGCATTAATCAACAGAATAGGCTGAGTGTGGTTGCTCATGCCTGTAAACCCAACACTTTGGGATGCTGAGGCAGGCAGACTGTTTGAGCCCAGGAGTTCAAGACCAGTCTGGGAAACATGGCGAAGCCCCATCTCTACAAAAAATACAAAAATTAGCCAAGGCTGTTGGTTGCTTGTGGTCCCAGCTACTCAGGAGGAGGATCGAGACCAGCCTGGGCAACATGGCGAAACCTCATCTCTACAAAAAATACAAAAATTAGCCGGGGCTGCTGGTGCATGCCTGTGGCCCCAGCTACTCAGGTAGGAGGATCACCTGAGCCCAGGGAGGTCAAGCTACAGTGAGCCATGATTGCACCACTGCTCTCGAGCCTGGGCAACACAGCAAGACCCTTTCCTCTACTCTGCTGCCCCCCAAAATTAACAGAATGTATTGCAAGTAGCTTTGTACTGGGCACAGTGGCTCCTGCCTGTAATCCCAGCTACTCAAGAGGCTGAGGTAGGAGGATCACTTGAGCCCAGGAGGTCAAGGATGCAGTGAGCTGTGATCATGCCACCGCACTCCAGCCTGGACTACAGAGTGAGACTTTGTCTCAAAGACAAACAAACAAAACCCGAAAACAGCATTGTATAGTTTCTGAGGCTAAGTCTTAAGGGACTTTGCAGCTTTTAGTTTCATTATCTCAGAACACTGCAGCCACTATTTAAGAAACCAAGTTAACCCGTTAAATGGGCCACATGGAAGAGAATCAAGACACCTCAGCCAACAGCTAATTGTCAGCCATGACCATCCTGGACCACCCAGCCCCATTTAGCCACCAGATGAATACGACCACATGAGTGACCAAAGATGAGACCAAGAGAAGAATCAGCCAGCTAAGCCCAGCCAAATTACAAAATTATGAGCCGGGCATGGTGGCTCACACCTATAATCACAGCACTTTGGGAGCCTGAGGCAGGCGGATCACCTGAGGTCAAGAATTCGAGGCCAGCCTGGCCAACATGGTGGAATTCTGCCTCTACTAAAAATACAAAATTGAGCTGGGCACGGTGGCACATGCCTGTAGTCCCAGCTACTTGGGAAGCTGAGGCAGGAGAATCTCTTGAAACCCGGGAGGTGGAGGTTGCAGTGAGCCGAGATGGCACCACTGCACTCCAACCTGGGTGATAGAGCAAGACTCCATATGAAAAAAAAAATTACAGAATTATGGGCAAATAAATGATTGTTGTTGTAAGCTACTACATTTTAGTATGGTCTGTTATGAAGTAACAGATAATTAAAAGAAGCTCCTATCATGGGTTAGACATTGTTTGAATGAGACCTTCCATATATATTATTTAGCTGACACAACAAACCTATAGAGTAGTAATTCTTATTATCCCCTTTTTTATAAATGGAAACTGAGGCCCAGAGAAGGAAAGAGAGTTCATTATTCAGGATCACAGAGCTAATTAACAGCTTAGCTAGGATTTCAATCTCATCTCTCTAACTCCAGGTCCAGTGATCTTGTCACTGCTCCAGGATGCTTCTTTGTTGTATTTACAGATGCATGATCCTGTTATCTTCTTTTTTTTTTTTTTTTTTGAGAC